TGATCGACGAGGACATTAACGCATGTATTGTACTTATTTGCTCACTGTCTTCACTATATTGGACATTATTCGCGTTCTGCTTGATTTACACCACATCATCCCTCGTGAATCTGTTCAATTAAAAAAATTTTTTTTTGTCATAAATTACTCCTTTCTGCAACGTCCATCACTGTACTTTGAAATATACTTTCTGCCACAACCAAATCACAACCAAACGGACACAAAGAAAATCAAAGATATTGAATTGGATATTACCTTTGCACTTTCCATTTCTAGAAAAATAGGGTTTTCTTAAACTAAATATGTTTGCTAATGTGTTCCATTTCGGAGCCATCATTCCTGAAAATTTACAAAAGACAAATATACTAATCATACAGTTTTTCACCTGACGTCAGTGAACTCCTCTTCTGAATATTAAAGATTTGGTGGGAAAATTGCAGCTGTATCATAGAAAGACATTAAGTTTCAAGTTTCATTCCATCATTTCATTCGCATTGAGCATATCAAAACTGCAAACGCTGCCAAACCTTTTTATGGTCTTTCGAAATGTTTGCACTTAATCCGTGGACTTAAACGTGACTGGGGGACGTCTTTTTTACTTGTGGGACGAATGCTAAAACGTGTCCTGGACACCATATTGCTTGCCTGTCACCACCTGGTTGAAATACTGCTGATATGGGACTATGAATTGTACCTCACTATTGTTTGGCGAGAAGTGGCTGGGTTGATAGAGTGGTCGGTATCAAGGAGGTATTACAGGCAGCTGTCACACAGCTGGAATATTGCTAACTGTGGTGTTAAACTATAGCTGCAGGATACGTGCGCATTTTCGCGAACACCTGGTTCCATCACTAGTTGATAGTGATTCATAAACACATGTTTATGATTAGACGGATTCGTACCATGGATCCTGCTTCCATCAGATATTCTTTTTTGATTATTGAACAGGTTTTGTCGCTTTTAGTCAGAAGACTTGAAACTTTTTGGAATGAAAGATTTTGCTGTTCTCTTCTTTCACGGTTAGTGTATCAATAAAGGATGCATCTGTTGTACATATAAACGCTATCGTAAGCACATATTTTAAGAGGATAACGCACTGACCGTTCAGTGTTATTTTTGACATGATAGGAATATTTCTTCTTTTGGAAATTCAAGTTGAAAGGACACATGCCTATCTATATTCTGAGGCTATTTGTTAAAATGTTTCTTATGAAAGTAGACAATGCAAAATGACGAATAGTTAGTTAATTTCCCTTCTAATAAATACTTGTACGCATGATATTTTCAATCATAATTGTAGGATTGCTTCTTTGTCAACCGCCTTTTGTGCCCATGTTCGGCAGCTCGACTTCTGAGAGTTTGTAGGGATTCGGCCCTGCCCCACACTGAAGCACGTGTGGTGTCTCCTTTGACAGGTGACTTTGTTCTAAATATGCCTCTGTTTATTAAGTAGTTAATGGGTACCCGGTAGGATGAGATGTATTGGGTAATGGTAGGGTGAAAATGTTAACCTTACAGGGTCTCACAATCAGTTTTGGTTGAATACCCCACAGGGATCTAGGAATAAAAAAACACGTTTGCACACTGATCGAAAGGTTTCACGCTTTTATCAGTAAACACGGAATTGTCCCGTTCCACCTCCCCTCAGATATTTGTCAACTAATTCACAAATAGCGTTGTAAGTACACGTACTCAACTCCCGTCCAATGTTATTAGTATCTTAACACTACTTTAACACACATGTAGCTCCTACCTACACCCCACTTTCACTGGATGAATGCTGCACTCAAATTGATTTTCGTGCTTGTTCCCTTTTTGTTTGAGATTTAAAAGTGTTTTTCGCCTTGGGACGGGTCTTCTTGGATGCCATAGCAATAGTAGAACAGAAAGTTTCAATTGATACATTATCGCGCACCTTTTGATGTTCAGTTCTATTATGTTTCAGTGCTGACTTGTTGGCCATGTTACGATAATGAAGACTATTCTTCTGGAAGAGTCGAGTTCCTGTGTTCAAAAACTGCACAATGGTATGAGTCAAAATAGTGAATTGCATCAGACATATTTTTTGGACTCTGATACGTCAATTTTGGAAATGTTCGCCATGTGTCCTCTTTTAGGTTTATCTTAGGCCTTGAAGATCGTAATCCTGATCAAATAACCTTTTTAGCAAGAGTCCTATGACCCCCTTCGAGTGAATGAGTGAGTTGGGTTTAACGCCGCTTTTAACAATATTCCAGTTGTATCACGGCGTGTCAGCTTAATGTGGGAGGAAAGCCCGAAGTGATGCAGGTCTCAGACGTTTACCACTTCGATGAAACCCACGAGCACGGGTATGGTGCTGACAAACCTAGAAACATCATCGGGGCGAACCGGGATTCGAACCCACAATCATAGGTTTCTGGCGTGCCCAAGGGACGCAACTCTGCCCAGCGAATCGCGGCGCCTTAGACGACTGGGCCACCCGTGCCCCTTGACGCCCTTCGAAATCGTCGAAGGAGGAGCATGCTCGTATCTCAAAAGTTTTAAAATGTAGTCACCAATGGCTGGATTTGCTTGAGAGACTGTGTTTAACTCACTCAGTTTATAGGTTATCTAGAACATAGTCAGAAAGAGTGACAGAGAGATATGCCTTGAAGGAAAAATGTACTTTTATTAAATACCTTTTTGAAGGTTCAAGATAAGCGAGTTAAAAAATGCACTTGGAACACAACCACCTCCATGTTTGTGGTGGAGAGAGCGTCTGCCCGGAGAGCGGAAGGTGGATGGTTCGCAATATCACGGTGAAGGACACGCATTGTGTTCACGTTGGGTATCAAACCAACTTATTCGGCGTGACGAGCGAATATTTACTGTCTACGATGTATGGGACGGCTATATTTTGTGGACATGCTTACCCTTTTCGCTACTACCTTGTGTCATGACTGCTTTCGGTGAGCCATATATTTGGTTTCCACCGCTAGTTTGCCTTTTTCGCCCAGTGAAATCTGTTTCGGAGGATAATCGAGGCAGATTATTCTCAGGCTTTTGTATTTTATATTTCCTCTTACCCTGTGTGATAACCTTTCTTTTTATCCATGCCGAGTTCTTTCTTACCATGTCGGCAATCATCCAAGTGTGGATTAAGGAACAATAGTGCACATGCATGTATGTGATTTGGACAATGAACTAGATTTCTTCTTCCGTCGTAACAAGTGATCCATTCGTAACATTTTCATCAATGTTTTGTTTTTTTACGCCCTATGGAATCTGTTTCAGGAGATATTCGAGACTGATTATTCTGTAGCGTTGACGTATTGAATTTACGTTCAATGCATAATACGTTTCGAATCTACATATTATGACCATATCTTTCTCCTCCAGGAAGCCTGTTATCCCGTGATCACGATGCGCGCTGTAGTTTCTCCCATTCTGACTTCAGTCAGTGTACAAGCACAAGCATCTACTTTCTTGATTACACAGAAGTCCTTAAGCTAGTTGGCATCGATTCCTATGTAAGGTGAGTGCATCATGTGAGAGAATTGGTAGTACAATTAAGAAAACCAGATTACATTTTCAGCACACAGATGCAATAAATCAGGACACATTTTGCTGATAATGTTACTTTGGAAAAGGGACAGAAGGTCGGAAGCAAAATGTACTGCCTCCGCGTGTTTACAGCTCTGTTTACAAGTACTTCAATCACACTCATGAAAAGTATTCTTTTACGCAAAGAGTATATTGATCGAAGCGGAGGTTGGTAGCAACAGGAGTTTTCAAGGATGGTGGTATATAGATTATATATATAAATACCACTTGTCAATAACTTTAATGATAGAGTAAGCATTTAGCTTAAGATTTGGACACAAAATAGATCGTCTTTTGGGGAAGTAGGTAAAATTAAACAGAATCAACAAAGGCGGCAGTGAGCTTACAATTCCGAATGTGAAGTATAATACAATGCTATTGCGGACAGGTTTTAAAAAGGTTTAATGTAGGCAAGGTTTAGGGTATGGAACAATAAGAATGAAGGATGAAGGAAGGTCACTTTTGCAATGGAGCTCGAGCGGGCCCTTCACAAACGGCTTGAGTGTCGAGTTTGAGTAAAAGAACCAACACACAATTATGTTTTGGCTTTAAGAGATACGTTTAATCAATATATTTTGTATCATAGACTTCCATTGTGACGTATTTGGGACACGTTTTAACATCAAGCCTATGTTATGGTTTCATTGACTTCTATTGTGGCGGACCGCTTCCGTGGTCTAATGGTAGAGCGCCTGCCCGGAGAGGGGAAGGTCGGGGGTTCTAAAAAGGTCAGTCATTTGTCGCGTGCTTTACGGAAGAAGTAGGTTTTCAATAGTGTCTTGAACTGTGATTAATATGAGACTGTCCTGACTGACAGTGAAACATTGTTCCCGAGGTGAGGGGCTGCAACTGAGAAGGCCTTATCACCCATTGTTGAGTTGCTTAAAGGAAATGGAAATTCCACAGAACAGGGAGGACGACCTGGTTTATGCACATTGATTAGACTATTCACGTGTAATTACAGGTATTGTCGCCATGGATGCATTTATGCATATAACAAGAAACTAAATTTTGAATTTATGATGCATACTGATCGTAAGAAATAAGAGAACAGATACAAAAAGTTGCATCTCTTTGACATGGCATCCATTGTATTCTAGGACTGACTGTTTTCAAATGAAGTGAACCAAACCGTATTTCACCTTGTCCTTAATGTTCCTCCAAGGAATGTTATAAATTCAGATCTTAATGTTATGTTTCATTTGGTGCCCTTATCAATTGAAAGTAAAAGAGCATCAAGATTTTCCCCGATAGGTTAATATTATCTCAGGAGATTTACGCTTCTTTACGTCTTAATCGGCCAAACCGTCAGCGAGAAAACCGAAAATAAATGGATTTTCTGTTTATCACTTCAAACAAACGATTTCAATTTCTCTACTTTTTATTGGGTTTGTTTGGAAGATACTTCTCAAAAGAAATGTTCAACCATTACTCACCGAAGAAGCGAAGCTGCTCGAATCAACGGATCATTTGCTTCAGGAGAGTTGACATCTTCTCGTCTGCTGCTGCCCTTCCAGTCGGACAACGGTGTCGTCTGCTGGCAAAAAGAAACGGGAATTAAGAAGGTTCATCCATATCTGCCTGTTATCAGTCAAGGGCATATGACTATATCATTTATTTCTTCGACGCCAGTATTTGACAGGCTACCACGGATGCGAATAAACACCTACCATAGACCACAGGTGTCAATATTTACACGTCTGGCTCTGTTGCCGAGCCACAACAAATTGACAGGCAATGTAAAAAGCAGCTTTCTTTACCGAGCAGTGGTTTCGTCATTCGATGAAAAACACTATCATCGAGTAGGGGGGCAGCTGCCTATCAACACATTAAGTTAGACTCTGGCGAGTACTTTGAGACTAAATAAGAGACTTATGTTATTATCCCTCTCAACTTTTTTTCCAATATGTTTCTTTCCCAGTTACATTAGAGTTACCTAAAAAAGACACATTTCTTTCTGCAATTACTGGCATATCCTCGACGGGCCGTTATGGTAAACCCTGCGAGTGTTGAAAAACGATCTATACGTTGGCGTTAAACAATTGGAAGAAGAAAAATGCTGGGGCAAGGTGATGACTTAGAAGTCCCAAGGCGTCAGTAAACTTCCAACAGAGCTTGCCTACTGGCTGTTTCGGAATAATACCTACAGACACTGATCACATACATATTTCAACACATGTCGTTCGCGATCGTAGGTCGTGTCGACCTTCTGGAGACAACTTTGTGAAATGTTCAAGGTAATATCAACACAGTCACAGTCACAGTCACAGTCACGCTGAAAATCCTTTCCCAATTTCTTCATGGTGCCTTCTGGTATTATTTAGGACATGTATTTCATAAGTGGAACAAAATCCTATAATTCCCCTCCTATGCGTCACAAATCCTTTACTTAGTCTGTTTTGTTTTCGAGCCGAAGAGCAATTTTCCTATCTGAGCTGCGAAATCCTTCAAATCCCTGGTGAAATCCCTCCGTTCGACAATGAATAATGTACGGACCGTCTAAGATGGTGGGGACACGGATTAATGTCCAAATTGATTTGGGAATGGTAAGTTAATATACGTCGGAGTTTGAAGTTTTTATTAACTCATGGGAACATTTGTTTTATGACTTAGTGTAGATATAATCGAAGTTTACGCGGTATTGCAACGAGTGTCAAAACACTGTCTTTTTCGATAGACTTTACTTGATATACACGTTCATTTAGACTCCCCGAAACGAATGCATGTTTATTATTCATTTAACGGTATTAAAAACGATACTGCTTTCCCGTCAATGATTGTCCACAGCTGCTGTAGTGAAAACCGTCGCATCCATGGTTATTTGATCCTGAATTATTGTCGACGGTGGATCAAATTGAACAGCATTAAACTAAGTTCGTTATTTATTCACAATTGTTGGAACAATATCCAACCATGTTGGAAAACGATGTTACAATGAAAACCGATACGTGAACATGATATTTCAATTTGAAATCGCTGATAATTCATGTATACAACAAAGTTCTGATTTAAGGAAAACAGTGTGCCAGGAAAAAGTTCGTTTCATCCGATGTTCGATCTGTCGTTTGTCATTCAAGTTTTGGTTTGTTTGTTGTTTAACGCCACAGACATTAATATTTCAGCCATATGACGGCGGTCTGTAAAATAATCGAGTCTGAAAGAGAACCTCCAGTGACTGACACCATGAGCATCGATCTACGAAATTGGGATACGATGACATGCATCAACCAAGTCAGCAAGCCTGACCACCCGATCCAGTTATATTAGTCGCCTCGTATTTTCATTCGAGTGAACAAACTGTTTTACCACACCTACATACGAATGAGTTGACTATGTATGCTAACTGACAAATGAGGATTATATAAATCTACCTGATGAATCCCCCACCACAACACAAATCTGATAAAACATATCGTTATGAGGATATCATATTGACAATTGTCGCGTTCTGATGGACTAATGGACTCAATGATAATACCAACTCCTCGTTTATCACGGGGGCGGTCGGGTAGCCTAGTGGTTAAAGCGTTCGTTCGTCACGCCGAAGACCCGGGTTCGATTCCCGACATGGGTACAATGTGTGAAGCCCATTTCTGGTGTCCCCCGCCGTGATCCTGCTGGAATATTGCTTAAAGCGGCGTAAAACCAACCCTCACTCACTCACTCGTTTATCACGTGAGAAAATACCCATCCTGCTGAAACATCCTACCAGATGTCTTGTTGCGAAATTACAAGGAAATCATGTTGACAATTGTCGCGTTGTGATGGACTAATGGAATCAATGATAAAACCAACTCCTCGTTTATCACGTGAGAAAATACCCAACCTGCTGAAACATCCTACCAGATGTCACTCTCGTGATTAATCCTCGTAACTAGAATTCATAATCCCGATTAAAGGATTCATGGTTATTGCAATTCGTCATCTGTAACATCTCTGCAAAAGCGGGTAACTTTAATAGTTTTGGGGAACATGTCAATTCTGCTGCAAGATATATCTGAATGTGCAGTGTGCCATTTGTACTTAATGAAAACGTAGACATTGTTAATGTGTCCCTCAGGGCCACTAAATGATTAATGACATATCCAATCCCTCAGATACGAGGTATTAGATTCTCTCGGTGAAAATAGGAGCAATAGACTTGAACCTTGACCTATAAGTTGGTGAATGTATTTCGAAGCAATGACTGGTAGAACTCCGTCACGGAACCGAACTAAACAACGCATTATTAGTATCAGTTCCCCGTCGTTTGTAATTAGGTCAGATAATGTGGAAATAATAAACATTAACCTTTCCGCTCAGCTGTGCATGGTCGGATAGCATCAGTACTAGTTAATTCAGTACGCTTTTCAATTCCATCAACCTTCTCGTTTCACCCTGCTTCCACACATAATATTGCTACAGCGTTACAGTGTCATCACTGAGAGTCAGTGATCAATTCATAGATACTGGTATCGCACTCACATCATCACTATTTTGCCTCTTTTTTTTTTTTTTTTTTAGCTCTGTGGAGTTTGTTTCGGCAGATATTCGAGACTGATTTTTGTCTGGCGTTGCCGTTTCGAATTTCCGGAACTATTGAATTAGACGATCGAATTATCGATTTTTTTTGGTGAGGGTTAGACCAGAAGAAAACTATCAGAAAGCGTTGACACCAGAACAGGCAGCAGTAATGTTATCGGTATTATGTTGTACCATGTTGTCATTTGTTGACGATCAAGCAATAAAAGCGCGATTATAACAAGGACATTATATTTTAAGAAGAGTGAGTGAGTTGGGTTTACGCCGCTTTTAACAGTATTCCACGGCGTGTCATATTAATGTGGGAGGAAAGCCCGAAGTGATGCATGTCTCAGACGTTTACCACTTCGGTGAAACCTACGAGCACGGGTATGGTGCTGACAAACCTAGAAACATAATCGGGGCGAACCGGGATTCGAACCCACAATCATAGTTTTCTGGCTTGCCCAAGGGACGCAACTCTGCACACCGAATCGCGGCGCCTTAGACGATGCGGCCACCCGTGCCCCCTTATTATAAGAAGAACTAGCTTAATATAAATCATGTATTAAAGTAAGACAAGTCAAGTCAGGGTCAAGTCTCAGATTCTAATTTACATTCATAAAACATTCCCAAGGCTACATTGATCACTTGATGTAAAATAATCATACAACATAAACGTCATGCAATAAACATAAAGCAATTGTTTCAGAGCAGTGAATGCACCCGAAGCAACTAATGACGTTTGTATTTACAGTGTGTCAATAACGCCTTTGATTTCAAATTGAATCCCCAATCATTTATTCATGATAACAGCCGAAAAGATAAATATTCACAACATGGAGGGACGGCATCCTTGTTGACATTGTATGCCACAGCTGTGACAATGACAGTCATGTTCTACATGTTACAAGTACACTGTATATGCATATGAATGTATTCTGTATGTATGAGACATCTGTCACCAACGGATGACTCGCAACTATTGTATACTGTCCATGGAACTATAGTCCTTTCACCATTACTGTCCACAATGACACACACACACACACACACACACACACACACACACACACACACACACACACACACACACACACACACACACACACACACACACACACACACACACACACACACACACACACACACACACTTTATTGCACCATAATTTGTAGTCATACGCCATGGCACCTGTGGACGTTTTATAAGCCATATCCGATGATATATCAAGTAATGTAATTTCCGCGCAGAATGTATCGTGTAAGGCAATCAGGTACCTAAAGGTTGAACCGTCTTGGCATTATGCTACATGAAACGCAGTTCCGATCAATTTGATATACAGAAATTGAGAATGACAAATCTTTGCGAACTGTCAGGGCATTGACAAACAGATGTCAGAAATGGTATTCGTAAATATATATTTACACGCCCTTGCGTACACCGTGACAGTATGCATCAGCGACGTCTGAATGATGACTAAACGCCGTTACAATTACAATATATATGTCGTACAGCTGTATCGAAGTGATTGTATCTCAGCATTGCTTTCCCTTGTAGATTTCCAGCATTATGTAATCTTACATATGACATAATATCCTCTTTTAAGATCCCAACATTTTCTTTGGTTATAGAATCCCATCACTGTCTCTTCTTGTAGAATCCTATAATTATCTTCTCTTGTATAATTTCTGTATAATCTCCTGTTGTAGAATCACAAAACTGTCAACTTTTGCAGAATTCCAGCATCATCTCCTCTTGTAGTATTATCCCCTGTTGTAGAATCCCAGCATATCTCCTGTTGTAGAATCCCAGCTTATCTCCTGTTGTAGAATCCCAGGATATCCTCTCTTAAGGAATCACAGCATATATCCTGTTGTATAAAATCAGTATTCTCTCCTCTTGTGGTATTCCAGCATATCTCCTGTTGTAGAATCCCAGCATTGTCCCTTCTTGTAGAATCTCAGCATTATCTCCTGTTGTAGAATCCCAGCATTGTCCCCTGTTGTAGAATCCCAGTACTTTTTCGTGTTGTAG